ATGTTGTGTACACATAACATGACATGTCTTGTTCTCACGAAATTAACTTAACCAAATTTAAAGTTTAACTTCGGTTATTTTAAATTTAGGTATATCGATGTAAAATTGAGAGAAACCAATGGTTCCAGTCTAATAGCACGGGTGTATAAGACATCGATCGCGATATGTAACGATTGATGGAACAATGATGTCATATAAGGAACTAAATGGTAGTTGACGGTGTTGTTCAAAGTTCAAACTACAAAGCATTGTTCCGATAAAATATCGAAGCTTGTGACGATTCAATCTTCTTATTGCAAATTCTTTAAATAACATATACATGTACAAGTTTTACATAAATGAAGACGTGTTTTGTTGATCTTCACCAAAGCTATCCTAGTATACGGATTTCCTTCCAAATAGTTTTTTTGTTTGTTAAAAGTACGAATAAAAATTAAATTATGAATTTAAAGTTCGGAGTAACACGGTGAAAATTAAGCGAAAATGACATTATGTCTGTTTTACTTGTCAAAGGTACCACCGTTCTTCCCCGATACTTCCCCAGGGCTTCAACATGTGAAATCGGTGAAAACATCATGGGTGATATATAACCGGGAATGCTCCACCTCGTCAAATTCCTAAAAATAAAAGATGCGCTTATACCAGGAATTGATCCGTCTTTGACCGAAGCATTATTGTATTTTCAATGACTAACTGCGTTTTTCATGTAGCATATAAATTTGCTGTTTTTGCGTTGGCAGTGAACTATAAAGTTATAATGTGTTTAAATTTAAATTAATTAATTGCAGACAGATGCAGACACAAAATCTGGTCACTGTTATTTTACGATAAAATATGTACATGTGGCAAAACGCAAGGGTGCCACTTTGTGAAAACATGCCGTAATATAGGGTATTCTGTTTCTAACGTCAGTTAAATACCAGGTTCACATGAAACATTACGGCATAAACAGTGGCACAAACGCCCGCTATCTGGAATGCGTTTCTACGTTCATAGATGTAGCAGTGGACATTCTAATCACTTTACGGGGATACACCCCATGGAGGAAGGTAGAAGCCAATTCATAATGAAAATATACAGAACGTATAAATTGTGCAATAAATACCGTATTCTCGGCGAATATAATGATACTGGCTGTAAATAAGTGTGGGATTACCAGCTTATTTGTCAAGAAAAAGATGATATATTTTATTTAGGGTCGGTCATACTATCAGTTTTAGAACACTGTGTTTTTGGAACTGTTCTGTACACATAAATGCTTAAATAATATTTAGTAATCATCTCAAAACACGGTACTGTCACACAACCTGGTTCGCGGTACCATGGAAATCTGCCTATCGTACATTGAGATTTATCATCAATTTTATTAAAAATGTGTTGTATATTGATGCTGAAAATGTTTTTCGAAAGTAGGACGTCTGGCAATGTTTTATTACTCGGTAATATAGCTGTTAACAGGAAACATTGCCGTGTATCGAGTGATATAAATTTGTTTGTTCTCAAAACAGTTACTTCCTTCTTATTTGTGTATCGGCCGATATAAAAGTTGTTCACTGTTTCCAACTATAAAAGTTGTCTTAGTCATATTCGATATTAATTGTTATCGACTTGCACTATATATGCTTAGCCCTCAAACAATATACCCTCAGTACACTTTGTTGGGGAAATGTAACAAACACTTGTAAATGGGAAGTAGCACTACAGGAAGTAAAAACTAAAACTAGGAACTTGCGTATAATGTCAGACATGTCGACGTCCTGGCAATGCGTTTCTAAAATTCACCTGAAAATAACTTTGAAACTAATATAATGCGTATTACCAATAACTGAATAATGAACTTGGTGGATTTAGACTGGCATTTGCAGTATATATCTAGGTCCACCAGGAAGTGTGACGCAGCTCGAATATATACATGTGTTCCAATTTACTCGCGTCAATCACGTGCTTAACACGAAAGGAGCTCATTGGGCAACTCTTTATTTCTGAATTCTTATCCTAGCTGAAGTCAACAACCAACCAACCTAGTAGTTCCGCTCAATAAGTGCGTATATACCAGACTTGCCGAATCTTGTTATCACTGCATATCAAACAATGTTGTTGTATCATAAAATTATCACAGCAAATAATAACAGTGGATATTTGAGTGTCATTGTCAATGTGTGATGAACCAATTCTCAAAGACAGAGAACGTCGTTTATATGATTTTATTATCAATTATATATTTTTAGTATAATCCATAGTTGATGCGATACTTGTATGAATATAGTTTACAATATATCTAGCTGCACTTGAAAGAAGAAATGCGAGTGTAAAACTTATATGGTCGGCGGAGAACGCCCTTCATGGTACCACCAGTCTCGAAAGTAATTTACTGGGCGATGAATGTTGTGAAAAAGGATAACTTTGACAACCAATACTTAATGTTCCTTTTTATTCATTGTATGATTATGATTTTAAGGGGAATTATTATGCCACAAACATTCACAACATCAGCATAGTTTATTTAAAGAAAAGAAGGAGGGTCGTCACCTGCACACGCGCGGGAATTGAGTCCCTGGCGACGATAACACACGCTAAAAAGCAAAGGCTCATGGGTAGACGCTTGTTTGTAAACAATAACTCGTTATGACCATCTGACGCATGCGCAGGTGACGACTCCTCTGCTTTAATATTGTGACTGATAATCGTCGAAATTTCAGCAAAAAATCCAGAATTGTGTAATCGAGTCACATTTACCAGTCATCGGAATGATTAGGAGCATATATTTGAAATCTTGAAGAGTGTGACCAGAGTATTTTTTTTGCATGGTGTCTAGTCTGTATATTATTATTTGTTTTTTTTATTTTGACAATACCAGTCCCTGCAACCCCTTGCATGCAATTGTTTTTTTCTTTTTCTCTCGGTGTCTAGCTTGCATTTTTTAAACAAATCTTTTAACTACTCCCCCCCGATTTCAAATAGTCGAACCCCTAGATTTATTTTTACTAGTAAAATACCCCATATGCCTGTTTTATCATTTCAAATCATTGCAACACTTCGGTGACCGTGTCCGAATTCGATGACACGTTATCATTTTCAACGGTAGATATAACATAATCAGCGAAAATTTTGAAAATACTAGAATGAGAGAAAAATAATTTTACACAATGTGGCGGAAAATGTAAATATATATTCATAGAATTATCATGTTGGATTGACTTTCAGGATTACAGGATGGTATATGTACGCTTTTCTATATGTTACTCGAACTTAAAATAACAGTTAACCAAACTTCGAGTTACGGGCAACACGTTTTTTTCTGTTCAGCTTTTATGGTTCCCGTAATTCGAAGTTTAGTTAACAGTTAATTAAAGTTCGAGTTACTTAATGTGGACGTTCAACGAAACCAGAAATGTATAATACCCGTAACTCGAAGTTGAGTTACAATTTGGGCGTGGCTTCTCAGAAGTGGGCGTGGTCATTTTTGTAACTCGATGTTCGTAACTCTTTGTTCGTAACTCGTTGTTCGAACTGTAACTGTAACAATACGCGGAGCTCACTACTACATGACATACTTGCACGTAACTTACGCAATCAGCTGTCACCTTGTAACCAACACGACTCCACCTTTTGACCTGTGTCCGACATGCTTGCTGTGTGTGACTTCCGTGCTTCTCAAGCATTCACAGCGTCGGGACTGTACCTCCATCTTTTCATAGACTGGTAACCACACATTGTAAATTGACACCAAATGGACGCTTCATCCAAAGCTTCCGCGTCTGTGAGTCTTTAAGTTTTAAACATTCATTATCGTACAGCGGGTGCAAACAAGATTCGTACGGGAGAACTCCCTAAACCTTGCAATATAGCGAGGGATTTTCTTATTTGCGGTATTTGCTACATTTTGTGATAATCTCACTTCCCCTTCCATCGATTTCAGACTAATTATTTTTTGGTGCTACGTACTATGGCTAAGTTGTCTGTATATTGCAATATTGTTGCAATATTATTACTTATAAAGTAAGTTGTAAGTTATCCTACGATTCTTTTTTGCGGTCGCTTCCAGCCTGTGGGCATACTAGTAGTTGATAGGGTTACTGGAGTATTAATGATAACTTTCCCAGGGAAGTTGTAACGTGAACCTAAATATTGGATAACTATGTCACCAACTGTCCGAGACGAGCACGGGCACGTACCCAGGAACTCTGTAAAACAGTTTTCACATTTCATTCCATGTGCGTGTTGAACTCAATTCACTCCGCAAAATAACGCTATGATTTTGTTGCACCGCATACATGTGTTGTACTCATCGGGAATCTTGTCTAGAGTATTAATGCGCCGATTTATGCGCGTTTTTGTAATTCATCGTCGCTGTTTACAACTTACTAGTATATGCACTATAATACGTGTATATTAGTACTCTCTGGCACACTAGTTACAAGAGTTATTCGAATATATCAATCAATTGTTGACATTTACTAAAAAAAATACTTATATATAAAGCGTGTCATGTAATTATTATAATTGTGTGGAAATAAATTTAAAAAGGTTAATATATTCAATGTTTAGTTATCTGTCCCTCTAGCCAGACTGTACTGTCTCATTCACTCAATGGTTGACCCTCAAATGACCTTTTCACTTTGTTTACGTAAGGTTACCCAGAGGGCGCCCTTCTCCCTCGTACCGGCAAACATGGCTGCCGTGGAAGGATGGTTTATCGACGCCGACAAAGTCACCGTACCACACTTAGACAGACTACTAGAACTCGATCCATATCTTGTACAGCACCAGAAAGAAATCAAGAGGAGGTAATTCAAATCAAAATTTTAGTGTATTTGGTTTATTCCAGGAATCCGAGTTTTTTATCAGATTTTAAATCAGTAGAAATGCACGCGTTATTTTTTTTAGCCAAACCACGGTTGCAACCGTGGCCAAGCGCACATTGTTCATCGACACGTGTACTGTATGTTGTGCGTTTACGTGTGCGATTATTGGCGTGCATTGCAGTTTTCATTTTTAAATTATCCTGTTCAGTCGTGCAACGCGTCGACTGAAGTTGTAGGTCAACGAACTTAGAGGTTAATGTCCGGCCAAAGTATCCCAGTTTTCTGCACGATCACGCCACTGTTCTATTTGCTGCACTTCGCGGAGTCCCCAATCAATCACGTGACGAGTACAACGGGTTTACAACTATGATTTACTTATTTATTTACTGATTTTAGCAGTGGAAAATTTTTTTGCTAAGAATCAAACCTGAGCGAGAACTTATTAAGCCATGAACAAATATTAATGCTTCACTTATGCAGTTACAAATTTTCATGTAACAATTTTTTTAAAGTTATTGCCAGAATTAAAAAAAAAAAAAAAAATATCAAAAATATGGCAATTTGTAAAGACAATTTGTATGCCAATTTAAAAAACGAGAAACAGGCTAACCTGCATCATTTTTAGAAAACAAATTTCCCAGAAATATTTCACTTTTTCACCACCAGTCACCTTTTTTATCACAAATAGTTACATTTATAGTCTGCACTTTTCTTACAAAGATTGTGACAAAAATAAACAAATTTTTTGAGTAAAAACGGGAAAAATAGACTCAAATTTTTGTTTCCAGCAATATTGAGGAATATGTGCTGAAAAATTTGAAAGAGAAAATCTGGTGGCAAAAAAGGACCTAAAAATACCGGGCATTAAATGATAAAATGACAATTCTACTTGTCAGGCCTTTCCAAAATTCTACATGTAGCTCATTATTTCATCCACCTGCAACTGTATTTGATTCTAGATATGGATGTTTTTCTGAAGTTCTTAAAAACATAGAGGAAAAACATGGAGGCTTGGATAAATTCACAAGGAGCTATGAGCATTATGGGATGCACAGAATGCCCAATGGTGGAGTCTATTGTAAGGAATGGGCACCATCGGCTGAATCCATGTATTTAAAGGGAGAATTCAGTAAGTATTCATCATCAGCTCATGTCGCAGGTTACAGCGAGATAATGATGTTATATAATCGATCTCAGAAATTGGCGCGTAACATCATCTTTATCGTTTGCTCCATACTAATTGTGCATACAAGTTACTAGATTGCTGAATGCATCAGATGTTGCCATTCTGTACATTGTATTGGGCTTTTTATGAAAATGACATAATGTAATAAAAAAACTGGACAGATTTTTTCCCCTCGGTTATACCATTACTATTTATGTGTGTTCATTGCTTTCGCATCTCAGGCATTGTTTTCATGTATTCTTTCACAATTTTTTTCCCAAATGTGATTCAGGTCTGCGTGTTTGAACACTTAAAACTTTAGTGGGTTACATTTCTCTGTAGACAATTGGGACCACAAAAAGCATCCATTCAAGAAAGGAGAGTTTGGTACCTGGGAGTTAACTATACCCCCTAATGCTGATGGTTCGAGCCCTGTACCCCATAACTCTGTCACCAAGGTAAGAAGATCAGTACTTGCCACCATACTATAGATATACTACACTGGTTTGTCACTCTTGTCACATGATCAGTATATCACAAAATTACGGTTGGACACCAACAAATATATTAATTCTCTTCCATGGGTGAGTTTGTCACAGACTCAATAGAAAGAACCAAACCATTCACTGAGATTTATTCAGGCAAAATACTGAAATTTAAACAATAAATGTTCCGGGTACTTGCTCAAGAAAATACTGGGTAGCTAGGCAGGATTGTAATTCTATTTGACTCCCATGTGTGAAGCACACAATGGTAGTTTTTGCAGTTAGTGCGTCTGTATATGTGTCTGTTCGTTCTATCTCATCCATCTCAAGAAATCTATTTATAAATAAATGCTGCTCGGACTGATAAATGTGATATATATAGTAGATATATATATAGTATGTTATAAAAATAATATACATTTACTTCTATGCTATTGATGAATTGCTTGAAACGTCTAGCTATTTTTAATAGTTACTTAGGACAATGATTACCATATATTATTTTGGTTGAAATTCATACATATTAATTACCTAATTTGCATGATACATAGTTAGATAATTTTTAGCTGTTCCTTGAATGTTCTTCTGATATCTAAAGAACCACTCATTGGATTTTGTATGAAATTGGTACATAAATGCTCTGGATTAAATGAAATAAAATAAATTAAATACCAAATTAGGGTTCATTTCCAGAAATATTCAAGAATATATGAAAAAAGTACAGAAAAATTTGGGCAAGAAAGTCTGGTGGTGAAAGGCTAAGGCACATACCAGTAACAAATTCACTCCAACAAAATGTTGTTTCCCTTTCACTACAAAATTAAAGCAGTGAATTATTTGTATGTATAGTAAATACAATATTTGCAATTATTATAAACTGTGATGTAAAACACCATAGCATTGCACATGTTTAAATTTGATTCATCCCACCAGCAATAACTGACTAGCAGATTATTTGTCACAAGTTTTTTTTTTCTGTTTCACTCATACATACATGTAGAAAATAACTAAAAATGTTGCATCAACTAATTGTTTGACATCATTTAATATTTAAATTGAACCACAATTGCTTTTCATCTGCATATTTAATTTTGACCACTTTCAGCTGCTTTGCATCATTTCATTCAAATCATGTGCACAGATCAATCATAAACTTTCTTACTAACTTCAACCACTGGACTAAAGTATTAGTGTCTATTGGTTTGGCATATGAAAGAAGATTAAATCATGGTGGAGACACTGAGCATCTTTGCTGCTAAAATAATAACAGCACAGAATTATAGCTCCACCACAAGTCATTGTCATGTGTGGTGCATTGTTTCCATCTTCCCATGTAGGATTCATCTACATATGTCTGTCCACACTAGTATGTTTGGCTGGACAGATCATGTTTTAAACTTTACACGTACTTCACAAATCATACATCATGACAATTAAGTTACCTCGGTTTACATTGACTCCATTATTAATTATTCATGGTTTGACATGCAGTATTTATAACGGGTTCAGATTTGACAACATTAAATGCACATATCACCTAGGATTTGATTACTTTTAAGTTCTAAACTCGTTACATTTTTATTTACTCAATGAAAACTTAATAGTTATAATTCAAGGAGGCAATTTGACTTCTATTTTGTATTTTGGGTTGATATTAACCATGGATATTTACACTGAATTATCATATCTGATAAAAACAAATATTAATGTAGAATAAATTTAGATTTTGAGGGAATTTAAACTTAATATAATAAAGCACAAGGCACTGTGTCTGAAAGTAGTATTCCTTTAGTAAAATAATTGCAGATGAATACAAAAATTGTTGTTATTGGTCTGTACTAGTAAATCAAGGTGCATTTGCAGTGGTTTATTATTTTCATAATTCCATTTCATGCACTGCAAAGACATCATATTTGATATTAATAAAATCATCATTCTACAGGTACTGAAACATGCAATATCAAAACTGTCATATTGTTCATATTTTGTTATTATTATTATAAAAAAAATGACAAATTCTATCTATCCTCAGCTTGCCATAGAGACAAAATCGGCAGAATTGGTTGAAAGATTGTCGCCATGGGCACCATATGTAACACAGGCTGATACTATGATATACGAAGGTCGATTCTGGGATCCTCCAGCTGATAAAAAGTACCAGTTTAAACACCCACGTCCAGCTACCCCACCCAATCTTCGTATTTATGAGTCACATGTTGGTATCTCGTCTTGGGAAGGCAAGATTGCTAGTTACCAACATTTTTCGCATAATGTACTACCAAGGATTAAGAAACAAGGTAAGTGCACTGCTTTCATGTTACCTTAAAAAAATGCTTTTTTTTGCTTTTTTCTACTTGAAGTTCAAATTCAATAAAAGGATGACACTGAAACTCAAGCTGATATAAATAAAACAATCAGAATTCAAACTACATGTACCAAGTCAACTAAAACTTATATACAAGAAAATGGTATCCCCTTGAGCTAACAATTTTTTTTCTGCTCAAATTTTGGTAAATTTCACTGAATTCAATCTTAATTTTGGACCAAATAAAATGTGTTACTGCTTCTAGTTTTCTGAAAATTTTATGTGAAAAAGAGTAGACTACAACATAAAGTAAACATTATTATTTTCAGGAACACATTCACATGTGATCAGTGAATATTCTGTGCAAACTGTAGCTGCCCTTATCTCTGTACCTGCCTTTGATCAGTTCATCACAGCTTGGTTGGATGTATCAATTCAATCAATACCAGTATAGTTATCTAAACCCTGTCTTCAATTATCATCTATAATGCTAGTTGCATTAATGAGGACTTTACCAGAATGATATTTACTAAAACATGGGATGTCTTTTTGTATTGCAGGTTACAATTGTATTCAGATGATGGCTGTTATGGAGCATGCATTCTATGCTAGCTTTGGTTACCAGGTAACCAGTTTCTTTGCTGCATCCAGGTTAGTAATTAAACGATGTATTTCTAAATGTTTCTGTATGTACTTGAGAAATATCTACATAAATAATAGGGGTACATGTACATGTACATGTAGTCTAAATACAAAATCTAAGTATGTCTTGGAGATTAGTTATAATTTGAATTGGTAAGGTGATTAGATGTGACAAATCAATCATAGATATCTGTTGCTGACCCATGGCATTTGAATGAGTTACTTAACCGTTTCACCACAAGTTCCTTCTTTTAATCAAAAATTCACAAAATAGTCCTGTTTATAGTCTTCACTTTCCTTCAGGTGATGAGGAAAAAAATAGCAAAATTTTTTAATTAAAAACAGAAAATTTACTCAAATTTTATCTGTTGGCTCCAAAATAAGGGTAATTTCCAAACGTATTGAAGAATATAAGAAAATAGTGCGGACAAATTTGGGCGAGAAAGTCTGGTGGTAGAAAAGTTAATTACAGTAATATGATAAAGTTGTGAAAAAAACAATCAGAATACAGAAGAACATGTGAAGAGTGCACTTACTGTATGGTACTGGTGGGTTTCTTTTCTTGGTCAAAGTTTTAATCTTTACTCAGCAGATGATGTTACGTGCTGGTAAAACCTGCCTATCTAGATCAGGTTATCACAGGCCTTGAAGTTGTATTATCAACACAATTTAGTTGAACGCTCTTTTAATTTTGAGTACCTTGGCTGAATATCAAAGCTGAAAAGTATGGGGTTCATGAACTGATTAAAACCTGATGTATTGTGCTGTTTATTATTGTATTTACTACAATAAATCCAAGATGCACCTATTGGTTATACAGAAAACAACTCAAGTGTCTGGTGCTGTCAGACTTGCATCTTGATGAAATAATCCATCGCATTGTATATTGATTTTATGAGAAGGACAGACAGACAATTCTACATATGATTTGGTGACTAGGATGTCGAAACTGAAACTACAAAATGGCTCTGTCCTTTTCAAATATTAGTAAGGTTAATGTCTTACCAATAACAGTTGCATTTGTTATCCATATTACTTTGCATGCCGAGTGTTTTAAACAAAAATGTTGCTGACAGTACAAGTGTAATTTGGATTTCTGCATTTAAATATGCGAGTACATTGTACTACTGGTATATTGTTTCATCCTACTGCAGTCGCTTTGGCAACCCAGAAGAGTTGAAGCAGCTGATTGACAACGCTCATAGTATGGGCATAGTGGTCTTACTAGATGTCGTACACAGTCACGCATGTAAGAATGTTGCTGATGGATTGAACGAGTTTGATGGATCGCAGTCTCATTACTTTCATGATGGACCCCGTGGTTTCCACAATCTATGGGACAGCAGACTTTTCAATTATAATAAGTAAGTACAGCATTGACTTGTACAAGTCTGTTTGTCCTTGTCAATAAATTCACTCGATCATCACAGATTTTTTCCATCCTAGTTAATAAACTCAGTCACACCAACCATCTTAGATTATTATATACTACTGAGTTAGCAGTCTATAGAATCTATGCAGCAATCTACAAAATTGGGATACTGGTTCTTGAGATAAAATTGGCAGTTGTTTTTAGCAACGATATCTTGGCGACTGCCAACAATGCCACAACATGTACACCAATGGTGTACTATAAAATTACAGAGTTACATATTATCACACTCCAAATTATGAAAATAACTATGATTAGAAAGTTATAAAACTACCAAGGTAATCTCACTGAGTACTAATAATCTAAAACAGGGAAAAAACAACCATCAAATATTATATTTCTAGCTTAAAGGCTGGTAGTCCTTGTGCAGTGATGTTTGAATTCCATGTAAACAAACAATGTATTTGACACGTGTTGTGTAGTCACTGTGCGTCTCTTTAATCTACTGTCAAATGTTGATCAGATCATATTTTAACTGAAAAAATGTTGCACAAAACCTTTGCTTAATTCTGGGCATTTTCTGGTTAAATATGTAAAAGTGCTGTGAAATCAGACAGCAGTAAACAACATGCAAAGTGAATCATTTATTAATCAGTTAATCTTATGTTTCACTACCAAATAACTGAAACATACTGTAAACTCACTCTACTTGGAACTGAAACATATTGGAATACCCAGTAATTGAAACATACCGTAATCTCACTTTAACACGGTAATTGAAATGTATAGTAATCTCACTCTATCCAGTAACTGAATGATACTTTAATCTCAATCTACCCGGTAACTGAATGATACTTTAATCTCACTCTACCCGGTAACTGAATGATACTTTAATCTCACTCTACCCGGTAACTGAATGATACTTTAATCTCACTCTACCCGGTAACTGAATGATACTTTAATCTCACTCTATCCGGTAACTGAATGATACCATAATCTCACTCTATCCGGTAACTGAATGATACTTTAATCTCACTCTACCCGGTAACTGAATGATACTTTAATCTCACTCTACCCGGTAACTGAATGATACTTTAATCTCACTCTACCCGGTAACTGAATGATACTTTAATCTCACTCTATCCGGTAACTGAATGATACCATAATCTCACTCTATCCAGTAACTGAATGATACTTTAATCTCACTCTACCCGGTAACTGAATGATACCATAATCTCACTCTACCCGGTAACTGAATGATACTTTAATCTCACTCTATCCGGTAACTGAATGATACCATAATCTCACTCTATCCAGTAACTGAATGATACTTTAATCTCACTCTACCCGGTAACTGAATGATACTTTAATCTCACTCTACCCGGTAACTGAATGATACTAATCTCACTCTACCGGGTAACTGAATGATACCATAATCTCACTCTATCCGGTAACTGAATGATACCATAATCTCACTCTACCCGGTAACTGAAACATACTATTATATTACTCTACCCGGTAATTGAAACATACTATTATATTACTCTACCCGGTAACTGAAACATACTATTATATTACTCTACCCGGTAACTGAAACATACTATTATGTTACACTACCCGGTAACTGAAACATACTATTATATTACTCTACCGGATAACTGAAACATACTATTATATTACTCTACCCGGTAACTGAAACATACTATTATATTACTCTACCCGGTAACTGAAACATACTATTATATTACTGCATCAATTGGTCATTAAACCATTATCATTTCCATTTTTATATATTGACCAATTTCAGCCATTCTGTGTCATATCATTCACATGTTCAAGAACAATCATAACCTTTCTTACTAGCTTCAACCACTGGACTAAAGTATTAGCGTCTATTGGTTTGGCAAAAGAAAGAAGATTAAATCATGGTGGAGACACTGAGCATCTTTGCTGCTAAAATAATAACAGCACTGAATTTATCGTACCTCATTTCCATCCCTCACTTCTATTACATGAAATTGACATACTGAACTCCTATTCTTGAATTAATGATAATACAGAGTAGCTAAAAAGCTAGCTTAAGAGACATGTTTTACAGTACATAATAATGTGGCAGCACACTCTAATGCAATATATTAATACTGTAAAATCTGTATTAGAAGCTGCGGCTTCTATTAAAATGATAGAATGCAACAGAGAGGATGTGGCTTCTATTAGAGTATCTACACATGAAAAATGGTGAATTTTTGATTCTCAATTATTCAAAAATAATGGGTGCGACTTCTATTAGGGATGCGGCTTCTAATACAGATTTACGGTAGGTTTGTAGAAGAGCAATGATTATTAATAAAATGTCACTTCAAACACAATTGCTTTCCACTCTTAATTTTTCTCTGTTCTTGTTCTGCTACAGCTGGGAGACGTTGCGCTTTCTACTCTCTAATTTACGTTGGTGGATGGAGGAATATCAATTTGACGGTTATCGCTTTGACGGCGTTACGTCAATGTTGTACCATCATCATGGGTTGGGTGTCGGCTTTAGTGGAGATTACAACGAATATTTTGACTTGTCCACAGATACCGAATCACTGACTTATCTTATGCTAGGCAATTATATGCTACATAAATTTTATCCCTACTGCGTTACTATATCTGAGGTAAGAAATTTAAATCTCATAATTAAGATTATGTTGTAGCTGAATTGACATTTGGTAGCTTTAGATGTCACAGAATTTATTATGTAGGTGGGACATCAACATGGATGGCTGTATATATGAAGCATCATATTTTTAGTTCCCAAAAGTCAGAAATGGGGACTTTTGTTCCTATATGCTTCAAGTATGCACATAATGTTGTATATACTTACGTCCACTTTGCAGCCATGTTTGTTATATTTTAAAATGTCAACTGCTTCTCAGACATGCCTGAGCTGATGCATCCGGAGTCATTATTCAGAATCCTTTGGACCGATTCCGTTCATTCTTTGCATGTGCCTAGTACTTTATGTGGGACATATGCACATTCAGTGGTTTGATTCAAAATGACTGACTGGCAGCCATCTTGTTTTTTGAAAATGCCGTATTTTGGACATGCTTTATCAGTTTTCATTCAAATTTGGTACATAGATTGTACATGTTAGGATACATGTCCATGACAATTTCTTCCGCACAGAAAATTACAAAGAGTTCCAATTGCTGTATTCCCTATCCCAGAATCTCAAATTCGATAATTACACATATGTTAACATTGTAAGCCCTATGTAAAGATTTATGGTAGGGCATGTACCATGGCAACAAACATTCATATTCATGAGATGAATGGTAATGTAATTTTAGTGCCTCATTCTGATCCTCAAACTTGCATTTTCTCAAACATACTTTAAACAATTTTAGTAAGTGCAATAACGTAGACATGCACCTCAATTTGTTTTACTTTCACTTGTGATCTATGTTTTTCTTTGCTATGTCTTAAACTGGTGGGGTCGTTAGCAACACATGTTCGAATTTGATGTAAATAAACAATCTGTTGTATTTGTCACTTGGAACTCAAGTTTCAAGGACACGCTTGCAACAATCCCTTCGCTTTAATATGACTAGAATAAAGAGAACTTTCAAAAATTGAATGGGGACTGTGTCATTTTCAATGACTTGTTTCATCTGTCCTCTAACTCTGTGACTTTGATCCAGGCCTTAACTGGAAATCCATGCTATGTCTGTATGTCGCCTGAGAAATTTCCATTCAAAATTCAAGTATCTGACTGCTTTCTACATTTCCTGAACATTATACCTGATAAATTGTAAGCTTTTATCCAATCCTGAGATGGACGCCAGTGTTTCTCTATCAATTTAACCTATCCCAAAAGTAGACCTGGAGAACCAATTTGTCATCAATCATGTTTTACACTGATTTCATTGTACTTAGTACAGTAAAACCTATTATAATAAAAACCACATATTGACCACCTTGAGGCAAGTAACCTGTATATAAAGAGCACCTGTCTAATGTGACTAGTGACCACCACTTTCGGTGTACAAAGTCAAAAATGATGAAAGATGATTTCAATTTTAGTATTTTATATGTCATGTATGTTATTTTCATTGTTTTGTTTCTCTATTCAATTTAAACTTACTTTTGTTTTTACTTCGCCTTATCATAGATTCAGAGAAATGGATGTGAAGCAAAAATTGTTTTCGTTGTCATTGTCTTTTCTGTTATTAACTTTTTTTGGCTACAATAACTCATTTAGTATGTCATACATTAAAGTTTTTCGAGGTATGGATAAATATGTGAGCTTAACTTGAAATCTGATGATCAGTTCGTAAGGTATGGTGGTGGGTTTCCATAAAATATACTTGCATCATCTTTAACTTTCTCTAAGAATCATTACATGACTGACTGACTTGATATGTCTGTTCAGTTTACTGTGAGAAAGAAGAGTAAACCCAGCAGTGTTCTGAGCATTGATGTTGTTTAGATAGTACAATATTGATGGAATTACCTCTGCTACATTCTTGCACATCTGTGAGTATTACCGTATGCTTGGAAACATGTGTAGCCAAGAACATGTTCTTATATATATTATTTTTCTTGATTCAAGTTGTTTGTATGATTCTATGGTGCACATTTAGGTCAAAGCAATCAATGATTTCATTGTTATATCATTGCTATTCTATTTCTTTATTTGACAAGGATGTCTCTGGAATGCCTGGATTATGTAGACCGGTAGAAGAAGGTGGCGGAGGATTTGATTACAGATTAGCAATGGCAATTCCTGATAAATGGATTAAGGTATGTGGTCAATCTAACATCCAAATATTGAGTATTCATGTATGCATGGTGATTGGTTGAAAATGTGATATATTGCACAGTGTATGATGTTCATTTCATATCTAGCAGTCGTGGAAATTACAATTATTATATTTTTTCGTAGAAGTGTTTTTTTTTTTTATAGGTCTTGCATAAATTGCCTGTACTCAACATATACTTGATCAGTACTTACTTCTAACCCTCCTAATATTTGCTTACAAACATTACATTTTGTGCTATTTTTTCCATTCTTGAAGCTCTTAAAAGAATTCAGTGATGACCAATGGAACTTGGGTAATATCGTACACACATTGACAAACCGACGCCATGGTGAAAAGACTGTTGCTTATGCCGAGTCACATGACCAAGCGCTGGTTGGTGACAAGACATTAGCATTCTGGTTAATGGACAAGGAAATGTACACTCACATGTCAACGTTGGCGCCGACAAGTATGATTATAGATCGTGGCATTGCATTGCATAAGATGATACGATTGATAACTCATGCGCTTGGTGGGGAAGCATGGCTCAATTTTATAGGTATGGTTTGTTTCCAATCCACTTCATTTCATTCAAGATATGCTAGCATGTTTTACGTCATTAAAGTGATTGACATCATTGATACCTTTTGCAGTGTTTGTTTGTTTAGCCAGTGTTATTTATTTATTTGTTTGTTTGTTTTGGTAGTGTTTTATTTATTTATTTTTTTGTTTGTTTGTTTATTTATTTATTTATTTATTTATTTATTTATTTATTTACCAATCATACTATCGTTCCCTGGCACTGTGGATTGGAACATTACATGTGACAGTTTTTATGTTCCCTTTGAAAAAAATGTCATTCTCCCAAATACAAATGCCACGAACCTGGCAAGCAGGCAGAATGTACACTTTTTCTATTTTAACCATTTTGCCACCCGTCAGGTAGCAATGCATACAACATGGTTACAAAGATGCATTATACTCTGGTTACAATGGTGTACATATATTATAAAAAGTTAAATTTCTGGCACCAATAATATCATAAGAGGACTATATAAACTTCATGAAAATATTGGAGACTAGTTGCCACCAAAATAACAAAAAATGGCAAAAGTGTCGACTAGCACAAGAATATTCGAAACTTTAAACTTTAACAAGTTTTTTTTTTACTCTGATTTGCAACAAATGTTGCATGAAATTAAAAGTAGTTTTAAATAAGACAAGTTCGTCTGTTTTGGTTGTATTGAAAGTTTTTCACTGTCAAATTGTCAACTATAATAACACAGCTGTATTTCTGAAAGTCTCTTACCATTCGTACATCTTTATACACAGGGAATGAGTTTGGTCATCCTGAGTGGTTGGATTTCCCCCGTCCTGGTAACAACAACAGCTATCACTATGCCAGGAGGCAGTGGAATGTCCTCGATGATGACAACCTGAAATACAAATATCTGAATAATTTTGACAGAGCAATGAATGAACTAGAAGATAAATACCAATGGTTGTCAAGTGCACAGGTAAGACATGCCAATCCCACTAAGACTTACCGGTAACGTGCCTCTCCATATTGTTTACTTTAATGTATGTTTATTAAAGCTCCTTTAAGATCACCTCTAATAGTTCATTTTAATGTACTGTAGAATACTTTATTTTCGCTTGGAATTAATTTTCACTATTTTCGCTGAAGGAAATAAATCGTAATTTTGACAAAATTTGAGTGAATTTTAGTTTTTATGCAAAGAATGTGGCTAATTTTGTCTCAATCTTCTGAAGGAAAATATAGAACTATGATTATTTTGTGAATTTGTGAGGGAACTGGTCATGGTGGGAAAAAGGTTAAAGCAAAAAATACTTGCAATGTGGGTATAGTTTATGCATGGGCGTGATCAGACAATAAAAGGTCACTTTTATTTGGATCTCAGATCAACATTAGATGTTAAAATGGCCGCCAAGATCTTGTTGAAAGTGAGACTACCACGTTACTTGTGTTTTGTCCCTCAAATAATGTTCTATTCTGATCTGTTGATCATATCTACTGTTCCAATTACCATGGTTACAGTGAACATAATCGACAAGAGATAATATGATAGGTGAAAATAAATCATCTGTTCCTTTCACTCTTAGTGAGATTTCGTCAGCCATTTATATTAAAGGTTCATTGATGTTATTTTAGTAATTAGCACTAGTGAAATGTATCACTCATCATGAATGTTTCCTTCCCTGGCAACCAGAGAATGTTGACATCATATATTCTACAACATTTTTCTTTCAGGCCTATGTCAGTACGAAACATGAATCAGATAAAGTAATTGTATTTGAAAGAGCAGGCTTGTTATTTGCTTTCAATTTCCACCCTACTCAGAGCTATTCTGATTACCGTGTTGGTGTGCACACACCAGGAAAGTATCCTTTGTTATTCTACTTTATTTGCTCTTGGTATATGTGATTGTCTGTTCCTTACGTCAACTTTCTTTTTCAAACAACTTCTTGTTGAAATTTATTTTCAACTTTTTTTATGATTGGTTTTATATTTTGTATATAAGTACTTTGGGTGGACCCTCTATAAGATTTGAACTTTCAGAGAAGATATATATATTCAATTCTTCAATTTTAGTGAATATTTTTGTCACCTTTGGTGAAAATGCTATTTTTGACTTTTTCTTGAAAATCACTCCTCCAATTGCTTTGATATTTGGTATATGTGACATTAGGGGAACACTCTACTAATTCACAGACAACCGGAGTTGATAAATCCCCTACTTGGGTACTCTTCAATTTATCCTTATCAGTGATAAGATCGAAACATAGGAGTTGAGGCAATTGTAGTTGCATGCAATTATTATTGCAAGACTGCCCTCTGCTAAAGCAGAGGAGTTTTTTCGACTGTCAGGTTGCTTGTATATTTTAATGAAAAATCTAATTTCATCTGTTATGTAACAAAATACAAATCTTCACATTGGTCGTCATGTGACACTGGTCGGCCATCTTTATTCTGGGTGTGAAACTTCATAGATCTGGTGAATCTGATTGGCTTATGCATGTCTGAGATGAAATGAAAAGATGGACAGATGAATTGGCAGACAGGTACTGTAAAATCTGTATTAGAAGATGCAACCTCTATTAAAATGGTACAATGCATCAGAGGGGATGTGGCTTCTATTAGAGCATCTACACATATGAGAAATGATGAATGATTGATTCTCCATTCTTCAAGTAGAATGGGTGCGACTTCTATCAGGAATGTGGCTTCAATACAGATTTTATTGGTGAAACTTATGAATGCTAATTAATAATTGTAAATATTAATCTTATTATGAATAATAATAAGCAACCATTACTTTTGCAAAGCTGGAAAGATTCAATCATTTGTTTTAATTTGATAAATTAATCAATTATCTTATACTTTTTCCTTGATGTGATATTCTCTCAGATATAAAATAGTTTTAGACAGTGATTCAGAAGAATTTGGTGGCCATAAACTAATTGACCATAATACAGATCACTTCACGTTCAATGAACAGTGGAATAACAGACAACATTCACTATTGGTAAGTGGGGCTCGATAGCATTTTATAGATAAAAACAACTATAAGAAACTGTGCATAACCTGCCATATCTGACTGTGCTAGAAATTTTATTAACTTGGAATAAAAATACACCATTAACAGGAGTGTGTATCATATAAATAAAAGTGAATGTAAACCAACTTTTACATTTGTTGTATACATGTACTGACCCATAAAAATATTACCTATTTTGACCATAGACATATAGCATCTACCGGGGGTATGTCCTCAGCATAAGTTAGAGCAATAGAGAAAATAGAAAAGCTCAAACTTTTTTTTTTTCATGGTATGTAACTGTGTGTGTAAAACTGCTAAAACACATAATTTCAAATTTGGAACATGCAGTAATTTTTAACACTTATTATGAAGTTGTTCTCAACCATGTGTCAACAACATCACTGCCATCTTGAGCAATTTTCACCTGTTTACGATGTAATATACACTAATATAGACTATTTTTCATTTCTATTTCTCTTTTGTTCCAGATATACATACCATCACGAGTGGCAGTAGTGTTTGCTAAAGTGGAATGATACCTATTAATTCATCTGTTAAATCATTGATGTGCTACCTGCAGTGCTGTGGTCTTCGTACCGCTCCATTTTTTACTTCCATGTGTGAATTAGCACACAGAGGGAGTCTTTGTGGTTACCATGTCTGTGTGTATGTGTGTCTTGACTGACTATTCGTCAGTTTTGAATGAAAGATATCCTGGGATAATTCAAAAACCTAATTAGTTTTTTGCTTGAAATTCTTTAATGTTAATTATTTTGTGCCATGAATAAATTATTGTGATGATACCCTGTTTTAATTTATGCGAGCCATGATTAGATTGCTCTGAGTTACTCTACAGTGTCATGATAAGTTACAGCTTGAACTCTGTGTATATTAATCACCTAATTAGAATAGTGATCTGCCAATGTTCCCTCAGATACAAAATCAAATGTATTTCTTTTGCTGTACTGTATTTAAAGAGTTTTGTTATATTATCAGTTTTGATACAGTGGATCAGATCAGTGTACATCTCAAACCACAAGCTTCTTGTTAGGTTTTAATAACATTTCCTTTATCTACTTCATGCTTTCTGCCATAACCTCCAGCACACAAGGGTTCCTTCAAATTCAATTCTTTTGTTTATTGTAGCCTGATTCAAGATTGATGTTAGATGTGTTGAGGTATAATTTGTGATAAAACCATTTACAATGTTTTCTGCATGTATTGTAAGTTGCCATGGTAAGAGAACAACAAGGTTAACATTCACTATTTTAGTATTACTGTGACTGGTGTAATAATGTTTTATACACTAAAACAGCAAAATTGCCAGCCAACTTTTTTTTACTGTTTTTTTGTGCATCATTACTTGATTGAATTAGTTGGGTGAAATCAACATCAAAAGATCCCTATAGGGACATATCAATCAATGTTTCCACTGTTCATACTGTCATCTAAATTTTTTTGAAAGCATTTTGAAGTAAATTGGGCCCTAAACCTACATGTAATGCAGTTGTTATGGTAATCGCAAGTACCTGTATATGTATAGGATCAAGTGTTAAATATTTTGCCTTTCAGCGAGCATTACGGTATGTTTTTTTTCTGTTGGCAGCAAAAATCCTGTTTCGAATTCTGCTTCAGGTGCACCTTAAATACAACTTCTGCTTCTGGTTCTTTTGGACACTGCGACAACGTGAATTCAAGGATAATCCAATGAATTATGAAACAAAGAACCTAATGGCTTTACCAGAAAGAAATCTTAATTCGGTTGTGACTTGATAGTGCTGAAAACTCAATCACAACGAATTTACGGAAACTCTTGGCAAGACTCTCTAAGCATTTCATGCGCATTTTGTACATGTTAATATGTTATTTATTCAGACCCATTTTATTCTTGAGAATCTTTGCCGACCCACACGTTGCTGCCTGATACATGTTTATTTTGGTACTGTTACAAATAATGTTCCTACATTTGTGCACATGATATTGATTGAGATTTCATAATCACAAATTTGCAGATTACTATTTATTAATTTCGCGAGAGGAGCAAATAAGGACTGTTTTTTTTTTTACATTTGCATATTAAGTGGACCAATATTTGAACTGGATAAAAAAAGCCTAATGCTATAAACTGATAGTTTTACAGGCTGTAATGTTAAATAATAGAGATTGCATAGTTGAGTAAATGTTGCATATTATACACTTAGGATAAAAAAGCATGTCTATGCCCTCAAGTAGTTGGAACTAGCTACTACTTTTGTTTATATGGACCATTCTTATAAATTGTTACATATACCTGCGTCTCTGTAATTTGTATGCGATAGCTGCTGTGCAGATCTAGACATTGCAGTTTACAAATAAAATATATCTTGCTGAAAAAATGGTTGAGAATGTTCATTTCAACTTTTAAAATGATGCATCTCACAAACTCTTGAATACATCTGTCTGTGGAAGGGGCTGCGGCTCGTCCTCATGTTGTTCTTTCATGTATGCTGCGTTGAGATGTTGATACCTGTCTGTCCTTTGTGGCATTTTACAGACAAATAGATGGTGTTTCGGCACAAGACGTCTAACGATTCATAATATCTTGATTTGTTGATATTCCAATTTTTCCCCAAAGTTCATCATGATCTGACTCCACTCTGTACTACAAGGGTACCAATGTACTAGGTTGATTTATATTCTAGGTAGCGAGAAGGGTTTGATGACGTTTTAGAATAAGCATTCTGTTTGTTGTCTTATTCAGAACTGTAATTTAGCGTACATGTTTCGAAAGCCCAAGGGAATATTGACTTGAAAAAATAGAACACAATAAAAAAAATGCTTTAAGAAAAAATTCACAAAGTTATGACCATATTTCTTTGAAGTCTTAACCAACAGTACTGCTAAAATGGACGTTAGGATAAATATGCAATATTTGCGACAGGAAGCTTATCACTCGTCATATCAAAATTGTCAACAGAGTATACTGTTATATCGTGTAAGCCATCCCAAGGATGAACATTATGCAAATATCCACGAAATTGCAGTTATTTGTGTTAGCATTTGAAAAAAAACTGATTTGGGCAGTGTCTTTCTGAAATTTCATTCTTTTGAAAAGCTAAGATGCTGCATTAACGTCAAAAATAACCGTTTTAAGAAAAAAATAAAATTTTCCCTTCTGCTACATTAAATGGCTTGAGATTAGCTCTTGTAAAATTTTAGGTGGTATCAATCAATCACCTAGGTCTTCTAAGTGCCAGATCTGTCATCAAAATAATAATGCATTTAGTGAATACAGAAACTATTCTCACATCGTACAGTGCAACTGAATCAACATTTAATTCATTGTCATGTGCTGGCAGGACTTGATTGATGTTGAATTCTATGAGACAAAAATAAGATTTATTTTGGTTTTCAAAATTAACACTTAATTTAGATTAAGCTTAAAAAAAAAATCAAGGTTTTACACACTATTAACTTTGATCCAGATGGATAGGGATGAACATACTGTCGTAAGAAAAACAAAACAGCAGCCATCATTTTAAGAGAAAAAATGTGAACCTGTAACAGAATGTATACAGTATTATAAATATACAAAGATTGATTGAAATTGCCACAATCATCACCTATTACCGGTACAGTAAGTCTTCTTAGTCCTCAGCAGTGTCTTGAGTTCTCGTCCATAATCATTTGAAACCACTTCACAAAATGTACAAAAATAAGTCATAATGGAAGGAAGACTTATGCACATCAATTTGTTTTTCATCTTTATCGAATCAACTTTTGCTAATTCTTCTCAAAATTAATATGAACTCCACATGCTCGTTTTTTGTGATGGCCATGTTTGATTCCCGTGTGCGAAGCACAAAAAGGGAGTCTTTGCAGTTAGTGTGTCTGTATGTGTGTGTGTGTGTGTGTGTGTGTGTGTGTGTCCGCCTGTTCCACTGATATCTCAAGCACCATACATCAGTTTTTGATGAAACTTGGTGCATAGATGCTCTGGGCCAATGCGCAGATTTGATTAGGTTTTGGTAAAAATCTATGCATATTAATTACCTAATTTGCATGATAATTAGCTGATTTTTAGCTGTTCCATGACTGTTCCACCGATATCTAAAGAACCACACATTGGATTTTGATGAAACTTGGCACACAGGTGCTCCAAACTAATGCTTTGATGTGATTAGTTTTGGGTAAAAATCTGTACAATATTAATTACCTAATTTGCATAATGATTAATCAATTTTCGGC